AAAAAAAGATGTAGCTATGATTGGAGCCCAGGACATCTGGCTTTTAAGTCCACCCTTTTAACTCCCACATCCAACATTCATCTTGAGACCAGGGGGTAGTGATTACCTGACCGTTCTTCTCCTCTGCCTTTAGGGGACTCTGGTGAGATTACCCTTCCTACTGCTTGATTCCCTGTTGGCCACCTGCCATCCTTTCTTAGCCTGGAACTGTATTGTGGCAGGTGTGTGTATTGGAGTGGATGTGGCTGTGGGGAGACTTCATACATTTTATCAGGTCCTCCAAGCTATAGTTCCCTAAAATGGGGATCTTGGTGCTGGTATGGGGAGTGTTAGAGGACTCCCTGGTAGGTGGCCAGAGGATGAGATGATGGTACCCAGGGAAGAGGAAGTACAAACATTATCTCTCTCCAAAGTAACTTTCCACTCACTGCCCCACCCCCACCGAGCCTTTCTTGCATTCTAATTTGATTTCCTTGGTATTTATGGTGATGCTAAACAGATCACAACCTTTGAGGATGGAGAAGAGAAGACCCCCAAGGCTGGGCTGTGTTGATCTCATTACACTACGTCTTCTCAGCAGATCTGCCGCCCTGCTGTTCATTCAGGCTTGGGCCTAATCATATTAATTGAAATATTAAATATTTACAGAAATGAATTTCAATGAAGTCCTCTCATTCCTCCTCCCAGTCAGTAATTGTGGAGATAACTGCAAGCAAGGAAATAGTTCCAGTCTTTCCGTTTTCAGTCCCAGATCGAGGTGGCAAAGTGAGAGGAGCATCAGGGATTTAGCGGGGAGAAAGGGCACTCCCTTCAGACCTTCCTGCTTGAGTAACAGATGTTCTTTCAGGGCCAGGGAATAGGAAGTAAAGAGTGGGGCGGGGAGGGGGGGGAACCTCCTGACTCAGACATCCTTTGTGGTCAGTTTCTCTCCGGAGGAAATAAAGCTTCAAATCCTAATTCCTCCAAGATACTTAAACTCTGCCCTCCACCCCCAAGCTCACCTTTTACTTCTTCAGTCAAAGCATAAAAAAAAGACTGTTGGGCTGGGAAGGTGGCTCAGTGGTAGAGTGCTTGCCTTGCATGCATGAGGCCCTGGGTTCGATTCCTCAGCATCACATAAGCAAAAAGCAAAAAGCTGGAAGTGGCGCTGTGGCTCAAGTGCTAGCCTTGAGCTGAAGAACTGAGGGACAGCGCCCAGGCCCAGAGTTCAGGCCCCACGACTGGACCCAAATAAATAAATAAATAAAAAAGACTGTTGACTTTATAAAGGAGATCTTTGTTCCTGGTTTTAGAATCATAGGCAGTGAAAAATGTCAGATAACGGGTTTTTTTTGAAAAAGGGGGAAATGTGTTGGTATGTGTGGACAGTGTGGCTTGTGAGATTGAACAGAGAATGAGGAGATCAGTAGCAGAATGGATAAGAGCGTACAAAGAATTGATTATATAACCTCCCTGACCTCAAGTGGGGAGGTGGGAGAGGAGAACCCAATAGATAATCATGAGCCCTGAGATGCTGTTAAGCAAACACTGGTAGTTCATGTCTGTAATCCTAGCTACTTAGGAGGCTGAGAGCTAGAGGATGGCTATTTCAAACCAGACCAGGCAGAAAACCTCACTAGACTCCATCTGCAAAATAACCAGCAAAAAACAGGGCTAGAGGTGTGGCTCAAGTGTCAGAGTACCAACTAAGTAAGCACAAGACCCTGAGCTAAAAGGTCAGTAACACACACACACACACACACACACACACACACACGCAGAGCCTTGGGCACACAATGCGATCAGTCAGGAAAGCCTTGGTGGATTCTCAATGCACAAGAAGATTACCAACTAGCAGGAGGATTTAACAATGTTTTTATGCATGGGGAAGATAGAGATTTATCTGTGTGTATGTTGTGTGAGTTTGTATATGTAGGTCTGCTTGTCTAGACTACAGTGCTGTCTAAATGCCGAGCACATATATAATTTAATATTTTTCTAGTGGGGCTGGGAAGGTGGCTCAGTGGTAGAGCATTTGCCTTGCATGCTTGAGGCCCTGGGTTCGATTCCTCAGCACCACATAAGCAAAAAGAAAAAAGCCAGAGGTGGCACTGTGGCTCAAGTGGTAGAGCACTCACCTTGAGCTGAAGAGCTGAGGGACAGCGCCCAGGCCCAGAGTTCAGGCCCCACGCCGGATCCACCCCCAAAATTTTTTTTCTAGTAGCCACATTAAAGAAGTAAAAAGAAACAAGTGAAATTACTTTTAAAAATGTATTATAGTTGGGTGCTGGTGGTGTGCACCCATAATCCTAGCTATTCAGGAGGCTGAGATCTGAGGATTGCGGTTCAAAGCCAGCCCAGGCAGGAAAGTCTGTGAGACTCATATCCAATAAACCACTCAGAAAACTGGAAGTGGTGCTGTGGCTCAAGTGGTAGAGCACTAGCCTTGACCTGAAGAGCAGAGGGACGGTACCCAGGCCCAGAGTTCAAGCTTCATGACAAAAAAAAAAAAAAAAGTATTTTAGAGAGAAGGGAGGGATGACATTGTCCCAAAAGAAATGTTCTCATTACCTGACTTATAAAATGGCCCCCCTCTATATCATCTTTATAATAACAAAAATATTTAACAAAATTTTTTTTATTTAGTCTGTTCTAACTCAAATACGATTTCTACATATAACCAACTTAAAAGTATTCAGCTATTTTACATTATTTTTTATGCCAACTCTTCAAGATTCAGGATTTATTTTACATGTCTAATCTATGTAACACTCAACAGGGATGTTTCAAGCATTAAAAGCGATGGGCTTGGAGCCAGAGGCCCACACCTAGATAATCTTTGCTACATTAGGAGGCTGAGATCTGGAGGAGGGTTATTCGAAGCCAGACCAGGCAGAAAAGTCCTTGAGATTCCCATCCACAAAATAATTAGCAAGGGGCTGGGAAGGTGGCTCAGTGGTAGAGCGCTTGCCTTGCATGCCTGAGGCCCTGGGTCCAATTCCTCAGCACCACATAAGCAAAAAGAAAAAAGCCAGAAGTGACACTGTGGCTCAAGTGGTAGAGCGCTAGCCTTGAGCTGAAGAGCTGAGGGACAGCGCCCAGGCCCAGAGTTCAGGCCCCACGACCGGACCCCCCCCAAAAAAAATAATTAGCAAAACGCTGAGCTAAAAGTGTAGCTCCAGTGGTGAAGGGGCCAGCTGAGAAAGTGCAAGGCTGAGTTCAAATGTTGGTACCAGAAGAAAGAAACTACACAACAACGACAAAACCAAACCACAAAACAATGAGCAATAGGTGGCTTGGGATCATCCTGGCTAGTGAAGCTCTGGGGGAGGGTGACAAGACACGGGTCTTGGCCAATAGGAACGATCACCTCTGGTTAACCTCTGTTCCTGTTGGAAAACATTGCACTTTGGACAGATGGTAGCTTATCTCCCTCTTACTGTATTAACTTTCGCCCCTAAAAAAATGGACTACCAATCAAAATGATCACTAACCCTGATGAGGTTTCTGAGACGAGGTTTAAAGCCCTCTCCCAACATTTCTGTGGCTCTTCTGTCTTTGCTGGGAAATGTTAGGGGCAGCCCACTAAGAATCCCTCTGCGGCCTGAGGACGAGCTTATGTCTCACACTATTCCCTTGCTTTCTGGAGCAGTTGTTCACCAGTCTGAAAAGACAGCCCCTCCTGCAGGGTTTTTGTCTCCAGCCTCTCAGAAAGCCTCTGCTGGGCATCATCATCTGTGGGTGTGGAAGCTGTGTGTGTGTGTGTGTGTTTACAGACAGGCTCCTGCCCTTTCCAGGCAGCTATTTTCAGCTCTGTGGCTTTATGTTTCACTTACCCTTCTTAATCAGATACTACAAGAACAAATCTCGAAGACCAATTCCATTTCTCCTCCCTTATTCAATCGGGAGTGGGAGAAATCATTTAGAATTTATGAGGAACCCAGTGTGAAAAGAAAATTCATCTACATAAGTCAGTCCAAGAGGGGAAATTCTGCCAAAATGTCCCACGGGTCCTTTCCGGCATCCAGAGTCCAAGAATGTTCTTTCCTTTGCAGATCGCGGCTCACCCCATGCTCTGGGGGTACTTTCCTGCTTGTTAAGAATCCCAGACTTCAATGTCAAGTGTGTACAGGACAGATGGAAGGGATGGCTTCTGGCCAGTGGCTAGGGAACAAGCTTGGGTTCCTTTCTTTTCTTTTTTTTAGGTTTATTTTAATTTTTATTTAAAGGTGATGTACAGAGTGGCTACAGTTATATAAGTCAGGTATTGAGTACATATCTTTCTTTTTTTCTTTTGGCCAGTCTTGGGGTTTGAACTCAGGGCCTGAGCACTGTCCCCGGGCTGCTTTTTGCTCAAGGCTAGCACTCTACCACTTGAGCCACAGCGCCCTTCTGGGCTTTTTCTGTGTACGTGGTGCTGAGGAATTGAACCCAGGGCTTCATGCATGCTGGGCAAGCACTCTACCACTCAGCCACATTCCCAATTTCTTTTTGAGCAGTGTTACCCAACCTCATTTTCTCCCAGGTTTTTTCCCTCCTGACTCCCCTCCTCCTCCCAAGTTGCACAGTTCATTTCAACAGAGTCTCTAGTGAGTATCATCCCTGAATTAGTTCACGCTTTTCCCACCATTTCTGTGCTTCCCTTTCCCTTTCTCTTCCACTAGGACCAGACTTCCTCCAACTTGGGCCTGTTAGGAACTGGACTTTGGGAGAGCCTCCCTTAGAGATCTTTTTCTATCCGATTTAATAGTATTTGAGTCAAGGAGAAAGGTTCATTTCACCTACAATTAAGTTAGTTTAAAAAAAAAAAAAGTAAGTCTTCAAATCCAGGAATGAAGATCGTTTGGAGACGCCTGCCCCGGCGCGATACCACGTCTTCGCCCCTCAAGTTAGCTCTAGCTGCAGCTCCCGCTCCCTTCCCAGGACACGTTTCTCTCCTTTCTCTGGGGAGGGCGGGGCTTGGGGCGGGCCGGGGCGGGCCAGGGGCGGGGCCCGGGGCAGGGGGCGGGGCCCGCCCAGCTCGCGCGCCTGTCGCCTTGACGACCGAAGCAAGATGGATGGGCTGGAGGGCGGCCTGCTGGGGCCGGACCCTGGGGCCCTGAGCCCGGAGCAGATCGAGGAGCTTCGGAAAATCAAGGTGCGTGGTCCGAGCCTTCAGGCCTTCCTCCGTCAGTGAAAAGTGCAGCTCCCCAGGGCGGGACCCCCCCCCGCCCCGCCCCGCCCCCGACGGAGCGAAGGGCCCCCGAGGGGAGGGGAGCAGGAGCCCACCCCTGGTGAAGGGGTCCCGGAGAGGATCTTTGGGGTTTCTGGGGTCCTGAACAGAGCCCAACGGGCGCTTCAAAAGGCAAGATTTAAAGTAGGGTTCCTTCTGGAGAAATGGGGAGAAATGAGTGCCAGATTCATCTGTTCAGATACAAACAAGGTTTTAATGGCCTTAATAATAAGTTCCCTAAGCCCTAACAGGAAGCAGCCGGAAGATGGCGAATCTGTACACACACGGGACTTGGGCGGCTTCCGTTTACAAGCACCCTGGGGAAAGATCGAAGTTACCCGAGGAGGTTGTTTCCCCGGCCTTTCACACCTCTGGGGTTGAACTGGGTCTGTCCCTTCGTGGAGCGGTGGGTGACTCTTGGCTCTTGCTCCAGATCCAGACTCGGATTGCAAATGAAAAGTACCTAAGGACCCATAAAGAAGTGGAGTTGCTCCTAAATGGCTTCTTCAGGTAGGTAACTTTCCAGACTGACCTTGTGCAACTAGTGGAAAACTTCCTGGGTCTTGCTATAGATCGATGAATAGGAGTGTCCCTTTCTTCATACATTCCCTATTGCTTCTACCTTCTTAAAAGTTCGAAAATACCCTAAGACGAACTTTTTCTTACAAGAGAGTTTGTCTAACTTTATTTTATCTCTAAAATTCTTAAGCTGGATGCCTGTGGCCTAAGCCTGTAATCCTAGGTACTCAGGAGGCTGAGATCTGAGGATCATAGTTCAACTGAGGATTTTCAGTATACCTGAAAGATTTCCTTCAGTTATCTCTAAATTCAGTTAATAATACAGTTAAAATATTAATGCTCATTTACTTTAACTGTGAAAAGAAATGTGTACCATATGACACTTGGAAGAGGGAATGGAAAAGGGAATTTGACCTTGGGAAACCCAACTAGCCAATAGATACAGAATACTGCTCTCAGCCAGAGGAGCTCAAGATCCTTAGTAGAAATTTAAGAAAAAAATCACATGTCTGGCTCTTCCCTACTGAGAGCATTGTAGAAAACTCAAGGATTGGATGCTCTCTCTCTGTCTCCCCCCACCCCCCCCCCCTTTTTTTTTTCTTGGTCCTGAGGCTTGAACTTAGGCCTGGGCACTGTCCCTGAGTCTCTTTGTAATCAAGGCTGACACTCTACCACTTGAGCCACAGTGTCACTTTTGGCTTTTTCTGAGTAGGTTATTGGAGATAAGAGTCTCATGGACTTTGTTGCCTGGGCTGGCTTTGAACTGTGATCCTCAGATCTCAGTCCCCTGAGTAGCTAGGATTACAGGCGTGAGCCACCGGCACCTGGCTTGCCTGCCTGCCTGCCTGCCTTTATCTCTCTCTCTCTTCCTTCCTTCTTCCTTTCTTTTCTTTCTTTCTTTTCTTTCTTTCTTTCCTTCCTTCCTTCCTTCCTTCTTTCTTTCTTTCTTTCTTTCTTTCTTTCTTTCTTTCTTTCTTTCTTTCTTTCTTTCTTTCTTTCTTTCTTTCTTTCTCTCTCTCTCTCTCTTTCTTGTCAGTTGTGGGGTTTGAATTCAACCGGGCACTGTCCCTCAGCTCTTCAGCTCAAGGCAAGTGCTCTACCACTTGAGCCATAGCGCCACTTCGGCTTCTTTTTGCTTATGTGGTGCTAAGGAATCGAACCCAGGGCCTCAGGCATGCAAGGCAAGTGCTGTACCATTGAGCCACCTTCCCAGCCCAACCCACAGGCCATTTCTTAAGCCGGGAAAGAGAGAGAGAGAGAGAGAGAGAGACAGAGACAGAGAGACAGAGAGAGACAGAGAGGCCATTCCAGTGTCTCCTGGAGTACCTTCTTTCCTTCCCCCACACCACATTTCAACTTCCTACTTGGCTTGAATGAAAAAAATCTAAAGGGCCATCAGACAAAAGAACTGAAGGAAAAATAAATCATGGCGCAACAATGGGTGCAAACCACAGAGCTTGCTCATACTGTTTGGTTATACACAAGTCAGCAAGGGAAGGCTTAAATAATAATAATGCCTTCCATTTCCAGGCTTTGCTTTGTTTCCCTACATCAGCAGTCATCACAGTGTATTGTAATTGTGTTGTCAATCTTCTGCTTCTGTTACTGGTCCAAAGCTTCAAGCTGGTGAAGCCATGTGTGTGTCCCAGTGCCCATGCAGTGTGGGATGTCTTGATAACATTTTTGTTGTTGTTGGTTTTCCCAGAAACTCTATGAAAGATTTTTAAAAAGGTAATTATCATTTCCATTTTACAGGTGAAACACATTAAACTCAAGAGATATGAAGTACCGGGTGCCGGTGGCTCACGCCTATAACCCTAGCTACTCAGGAGGCTGAGATCAGAAGATCGTGGTTCAAAGCCAGCCCGGGCAGGAAAATCCATGAGACTCTTATCTCCAATAAAACACTAGAAAACCGGAAGTGGTGGTATGGCTCAAGCGGTAGAGTGTTTGCCTTGAGCTGAAGAGCACAAGGACAGCGCCCAAGCCCAGAGTTCAAGCCCCACGACCAACCAAAAAAAAAAAAGAGATATGAAGTATCTTTTTCAAGTTACTGACCTATGATTCAAATCCTGGTTCTTTCTACCATGTTGTGCAGATCCAGCGGAGACCCAAGTGGCAAAGTACTTGTCTAGCATGCATGAGGATCTGGGTTCGAGCCTCAGATTTTATGTTTTGGAATTTTTCTCTTAGGTGCATGAGGCTTATAGAACTGATGGGGAGACGTCAGAAAAAAACAAAACAAAACAAAACCGTATCTAGTTCCTCTGTGAAGCTGGGTTCCTTAGTACTAAGAATAAGGCTTGGGTAAAAGTTTTAGGAGTGGAAGTGGCGCTGTAGCTCAAGTGGTAGAGCGCTCGCCTTGAGTTGAAGAGCTGAGGGACAGCGCCCAGGCCCAGAGTTCAAGCCCCACGACCGACAAAAAAAAAAAAAGTTTTAGGAGTAAGCTGGGCGCTGGTGGCTCATGACTGTAATCCTAGCTACTCAGGAGGCTGAGATCTGAGGATGGTGGTTCAAAGCCAGCTAGGGCAGGAAAGTCTGTGAGACTCTTATCTCCAAGTAACCACCAGAAAACTGAATGAAAGTGGCTCTGTGGCTCAAGTGGTAGAGTGCTAGCCGTGACCTAAAGAGCTGAGGGACAGTGCCCAGGCCCAGAGTTCAAGCCCCACGACATTAAAAAAAAAAAAAAAAGTTTTAGGAGTCATCTGATAGTGTCACACGAGGGGGTCAAGTCATTACTTTTGTACCTTTTCTTCTAAAGGGAAGAGGGCTGGGAAGGTGGCTCAGTGGTAGAGCGCTTGGCTTGCATGCATGAGGCCCTGGGCTCGATTCCTCAGCACCACATAAAAAAAAAAAAAGCCGGAAGTGGTGCTGTGGCTCAAGTGGTAGAGCGCTAGCCTTGAGCTGAAGAGCTGAGGGACAGCGCCCAGGCCCAGAGTTCAGGCCCCATGACCGGACCCAAAAAAAAAGAAGAGGCCATGTCTGAATCCTGTGTCCCTGTGGCCCTGTTCTGTTTCTCTGTTGTCCTAGAGGACAACATTTCCTAGAGGAGGCTGGATATAAGGGGCCTAGCCGCTGGTGCCTCCCTACCCTTCCTTACTACCCCCATCTCCAAGATGAGGCAGGCCAGGCTTTTCTTTTTGCTGTCCCTGCAGCTCTCCTAAATGGAATTCTGCCCCCCCTGGGCATTTCTCTGGGATGGCGAGGGCTAATGTTTGAAGTATGAGGAGTTACTTTGCTTGCTTGTTTGGTGCTATTATTATTTGTTTTGAGTGCTACTAGAATGAGCCAGAATCAGCGTAGCATTGGACTGGCTACTTGACCAGTCCTTCCTGTGAAGAGAAGCAGACGGAGCAGGGCTCTGGGCAGCATGCCTGTGTCTGTCCTGCGGGTCTCTGCTGTGGACTCCTTGAGAAGTTTTGTACCATTTTTAATGAAAAGTGAATTTTCTTCTTGAGTTTTGATCCTAGAGACTTATGGCCATTCAGCCATGGCCCTTTGATCTGTCACAGAAATACTATGCATACAACTCTTCATACCTTCAACTTTGGACCTGAGAAATTAAAAGAATAGGGATCAAACTTATTTTAGCCACCCAGAAATCTTGGGTTTGGGTCTGGACATGTGAAATTATAGAAAGACTTTGTTAGTTGTTTTTTTTGTAAATACCCAATTATGTAAATACTAAATCATGGCAGCAGCCATATAATTACTTGGCTGAAAAAAAAAATCGTCAGTAGTTCTATATCTTTTTTTCTTGTTACAAAAATTGCCTTTGAAATATACAGAGAAGCGACAGATTCTAAGCTGGATGGACTTTCCTGTGCTTGTGGCTCTAGCATCCAGATGAAGAAATTAGATCTTACCCCAGACCCATTCTGATCAGCGTGCGTGCTGGTCCTGGGGCTTGAACTCAGGGCCAGGGCACAGTCCCTAAGCATTTTTTACTCAAGGCTAGCACTCTTGAGCCATAGCTCCACTTCTGACTTTTTGGTGGTCAGTTGGAGATAAGAAGAGTCTTGTGCCAGGCACTAGTGGCTCCACGCCTGTAATCCTAGCTACTCAGGAGGCTGAGATCTGAGGATCATGGCTCAAAGCCAGCCCGGGCAGGAAAGACCGTGAGACTCTTGTCTCCAATAAACCACCAGAAAACCAGAGGTGGCGCTGCAGCTGAAGCGGTAGAGCGCTCGCCTTGAGCTGAAGAGCTGAGGGACAGCGCCCAGGCCCAGAGTTCAAGCCCCATGACCAACAAAAAAAAAGAAAAGAAAAGAAACTTGTGAACTTTCCTACAGGTGGTGGTTTTAAACCATGATCCTCAGGTCCCAGCCTTTTAAGTAGCTATAGCTACAGGTGGGAGCCACCAGCGCCCCCTTTGTGACCCCTTTTTTGTTTGTTTCAGAGAGTCTCATCATGTAGCCCAGGTGGATGTCAAACTCTCAATCTTCCTGCCGCAGCTTCAGTGCGCGGATTACAGGTGTGAACCATCATGCCTGATGCCACTGTTGAGATTGCTAATAGCACAGATTCATTTTGCATTTTAGAGAAATGGACGTTTTATAATATGTACTCTTTGGTGCCTTCCTTAATAGTCGATCCTCACTTCTGTATTTGTATGACTATACCACATGCTGTGTATCTATAGCCATTGTCTTTCATTTTTGCATTATTGGGGATTAAAGCCAAGGACTCTGTGTGCAAAGTCCACACTCTACCTCCAAACTCCACCTCCAGCCTCCCGTTGTCTTTTTCCTTACTTTTCATGCTCCCTGAACCTGCCCTGACTCTAGCCAGTCTGAGCTCTGGTGCTCATTCTGAGTTCATGGAGTAGAAGCACAGATACCTTTTGAGTGTTCTTCTGGGCTCTGGCAATCAAAGGTGATCCTGGGGATCCCTAGTTGCTAATCTCAAGGAAGTCTTAGTCTGTAGACTATATTCTTCCATTTCTGGGCCTTGGTTCTTGCTGTTTTCCAGAATCTAGAATGTTCTTGTCCTTCAGCCCTCTCCTGCCAAAGAAATCTAATGTGTGCTGTCAATGTCTCAGGGCCAGTTGCAGAGGGAAGTTTTGGGGAACTTACTTGGTCTCTTTCACTTGCCTGTAATTTATTTAAGCTACTGTCAGATTGCATTTTAGGAAACAGACCAACCCCTCATGTTTTGTGCAGTTAATTTACACATAATTTGTACTTAATCAAATTGAAATGAAGGAGAAGGGAAGCAAACTATTCATTTGCCTGTAATGAGGCTCTGCTTCTCCTGCTCACAGCTGGTGCTCTACCACTTGAGCCATACCTCTAGTCTGACATTTTGCTGATTCATTGGAGATGGAGTCTTTTCAAAATTTTTTTGCCCAGGCTGATTTCTAACTGCAATCCTCCAGGTCTCAATCTCTTTGAGTAGCTACCTGTACCCTGCTTGGGAAGCAAATGTAAAGCTCTGGTATTGAAGCTTGGGGCTTCCTGGGCACAGAGCCTCTGGCTAAGAGTGAAGTGGGGCTGGTGGACCAGCAACATATGTAGCAAGCACTAACCTTGGAGTTACAGACCAGGGCCCTCTCTTTATTTGTTGTCTTTATGAACTGGGGTAACTGATTAACCTTTGAAAGTTTGGTTTCTTCATATGTAAACCAGGGACATACTAATTGTCATTTTACAAGGATGCTATAAAACAAGATAACATTAGTGAACATATTTTGTGAAACATAAAACTTGATAGGTTCTAAGACATTTTCCGTGAGCCGAGTGAGATTGGGGCTTCAGGTGTTGATCATTGTGTCTGCTTGCTGTACCCAGGGCTAATCGCCACCTGAAGTCCATCTTCTCAGCCTTGTTTGTTGGCTCTCTGTCCCCTGCCTTGTGAGAATTTACAGTTAAACTTTCTCAGCATGTTGTGAGTTGCATATTTAACCTTTGAAGAATGGGCAGAGGCTCTTCATGATTGCCTTGTGCTCTTGGCTTGATTTGGGTTCTGTGAAAACGTTTGAATGAATGACAAGCCCCACCTGGCTACAAAATAGCTTATTTTCCCCCCTTCTTTTTTATTTTGCCAGCTGTGGGGCTTGAACTCCATGCCCTGAGCTTTTTCTCTCAAGGTTAGCATTCTACCACTTTGAACCAAAAGCCCACTTCTGGCTTTTTTTTTTTAGTAGTTAATTGGAGATAAGAGTCTCAGACTTTCCTGCCTTAGCTGCCTTCCAACCACAATCCTCAGCCTCCTGGGCAACTAGGATTACAGGCATGAACTACCAGTGCCTGGCCAGCATAGCTTTTTTTTAATGAAATAATCAGTGGCCTAGGTTTATTTCTACTTGGGTGTTTTGCACCTGAGAGCATGGGTTGAAGAAACATCATTTGTCTGAGATGCCCTGGATTGCTGGCTTTCAGGATGAGGTCTCAGGTCGCAGGTGGAGCAGTTTCCAACTATCCAAGCGGTAGCCACAGACTGCCTCAAAGCTTGACTTACCTGCTACCTTTTCTCTTACTATTTTCTTGCAGACAGATGTTTCTGCAAAGACCTGGCAACATCCTAGAATTTGCTGCAGGTGAGTAAGATGGGGAATGGAGACTTGGACAGGCTACCCGCCCTGTGGAGTCTGGGGGGCCTTCTCTTTTGACAGCTGTCCCCCCTGGGGGCTATTTTCAGAAGGCTTCATTGCTCTGCTGTCATTTCCTCAAAATGAGGCCAGATAAGAAAGGAGACAGAACTTTCGCTTGGTGAGGATTGTTAAGAATTTTGAAATTCCCAACGGAAGACAGGCGCATCCCTTTTCCCTGGGGATCTCACAGGGGTTCCTGACCCTGGCTGCATATTAGAATTACCTGGGGAGCTTTTACAACACGCCCATGCTCAGGCCCCACCCCTAGAGATATTTTCATTTAATGAGTCTGGGGGGCGGGGCCCCCAGGTGACTCTAATGGACTTGGTTGCCCTGAGGTGGCTTAAGGTCAGTGGTATTTAGCAGGACTGGAATGGAGCTGGGCCATTTCTTGAGCAGTTAACCCTGCAAGCAGGTCGCGCGTTCTCCAGTGTTTGGGAACGAAATCGAAGTACGTCTTTGCTACACAGCAGATGCAGCCTGTGACTCACATGCTGCCGGGGTAGAAAGCCCTCTTCTGTCGTCATCCTGCGGAGTCTGGCTCTCCTCAGAGAGGGTGTTCTCAGAGACAAGCGCTGGCAAGCCCAGTGAATACGAGAATAACACTTGGCATTTCTTTGCGCCTCAAGATGGGCCCGGAGCAGAAAACTGAGAGACTCTCTGAGCCTTCTGAGGCCGCCCTGTGTGTCAGCAGACAAGGAGCAAATGGCTGTGGGCATAGGTCCACCCTCCCTGGGGATTGGACCCCTCAAGCAAGGACAGTGGCCTAGGGACTTCCCATGAGGGCTTGCTTGCTCACAGACACTGTACAGCAGGGGTCCCTCCAGCAGCCTGGCTAGGACCAAGCCATCCTCAAAGTAAGCTGTGTCCCTCCAGTCTTTTCCACTTTAGTATAAATGATTTCTTCTTCTTCTTCTTCTTTTTTTTTTTTTGATTTTTATCCCAGACTATTTCACGGATCCAAGACTTCCCAACAAGATTCACACGCAGCTAATTAAAGACAAGAAAGCAACTTAATTAGCAAAATCCTGACGCTCAGCTGTTGGGAGAGACCAGCCAGAACGAGCCTCTGGTGGGTGCTAGCCTCACTTAGCTGGGGAGGCGGCTTCATTCTGCATTTTGGTCTAGGGTACGAGGAGGAGAGCAAGCAGGGAAAGGCCGAGAGGAGCTGGAGACCTCAGCGCCCGTGGGCTGTCTCCCTGCCACGGTTTCGGGGAATTAGGCACTGTGAGATGCCTTACGTTGGCCTAGCCTTCCACCTAGTGAACCAGTTAGAGGGAAGAGAGTGGAAAGAAACGGGGAGAAAGCAGCAAAGAGATGGGGAGGGGTCCTTAGCACCAAGTCTACTACTGCAGGAGACCTTCCCTACCACCCCGGGCTGGGAATGGAGCACTTACTTTCTGTGCATATTGGATTGGGTGCTTTCTACGTGTGTGTGTGTGTGTGTGTGTGTGTTGGTCATGGGGCCTGGGTGCTCTTCAGCTCAAGGTGAGCGCTCTACCACTTGAGCCACAGCGCCACTTCTGATTTTCTGGTGGTTAATTGGAGACAAGTCTCACAGACTTCCCTGCCCAGGCTGGCTTTGAACTGCAGTTCTCAGATCTCAGCCTTCTGAGTAGCTAGGCATCCAGGCGTGAGCCACCGGTGCCCGGTTCTACTCCATCTTTAAACCAGGCTGTGCTGTCAGGTGCCAGTGGCTCACATCTGTAATCTTAGCTTCTCAGGAGGCTTGAAAAGCTGAGAATTGAGGTTCAAAGCCATACTGAGCAGAAAGGTTCATAAGACTCTTCAGCTAACCAGCAAAAAGCCCTAAGTAGAACTCTGGCTTAAGCGTGCCAGCCTTGAATGTAAAAGCTAAGAAACAGAGCCCAAGTCCTCAAGCCATAGTACCAGGACAAGAAAACAACAAACAACAACAAAAACCAAGCCCAGGTTGTGTCATGAAGGTCACCACAGCTGTTTTTCAAGCAGGATGACTACTGAAACTGTTGTGAAACTTGGGATTTTTTTTTTCTTTCACTTTTCGGGTGTGAGGTAGGAAAAGGACACACTCCTGACTTAGCAGACCCATTTCTGTTTTGCAGGGTCACCTGACAGCCCGAGAGCCCTGTTGCTGTTGCTGTGGGTTTTCAACCTGCCTTGGGCTGTCTGCTGTCTCAAAGGCTTTTAAAATCTCATTAAAACTAGACCTTTCTGCTCTCAGCTGTGTTTCACTGGGGGAGGGAGAGGCCCATGGTTCTGGTTCTCAGCCGTGGTGGGCTATTCCCATTCCAGCTGCTCCCTCCCTCCCAGGGTCTAGGCCTGAGCTGGGGCCACGGCTGGTCAAGTGGGGCAGGAGCTGAAAGTCCACATTTCAGCATGTCAGTGCCCGGGCAACTAGATAGATAGAGCGCAAGCAACGATCAGCTGATTTCTATGGAAGCAGTGTAGTGAGAGGAGGAGGCCGGAGGCCACCACAAGAGATTGAGGCAAGACGTTGCGCACCCCCTGGGGTCTGAATATTGTGAAAGAGGAGCTTGGCAGGAGACTTTAAAAGGGGGGTAGACTTTGTTCTTGAGGATTTTTAGGTACAAGCTGTCCATCCATTTGATTTTTAACTGAGAGGCAGAAGAATGGACCAGATGGCCTCCTGAAGTCCTTTTCAGCCCTACAAGGCTTGTGGTATGTATCTGCCTCTCTGGCCTCCACAATATAAAAAGCGCCTCTCACCTGTGTGTTCCTTGTCAACATCACTATGGCAACAGGAGCACAGACCAAAGCAGAGGTTGTATTATTTTGATTTCCCTTGTCTCTGCCTGCCTTGTTCCCAGCTGCCATCACCTGCGGTAGTGGAGAGGGCACCAAAACAGGGCACTTAAAGAACTATTAAAACTACTGTTAAAACAATAAACTATGGAATAGGAGCCGGAAAAGTTATTTTAACTGCTTTCAGAATTGCACTTTGGCAGCTCTGAGCACTGAGAATGAGATATCGTGGTTTAGAAAAATCCAAGCAAAACCTTTAGCAAAAACCCCCCCACACATCCTGTAATCCCAGTACTTGGGAGGTAGAGGAAGGAAGACTGTGAGTTCGAGGCCAACCTGTATAGATGTCTCAAAAAAAAAATGAGAAAAACGAAAATAAAAAAAGCATCCTGAACAGCCACTAAGAACCCGGGATGTGAGTAAAGGGTTACGTTACCACACTTGTATATCCTTTCCTGGGAAAATAGACCTGCAGCAGCGGGGGCAGGGTTCAAGTTTGAATGTATGACACAATGGTGGAAATCTAGCATTTCTCTTAATGTAACTTTGTGTGTGTGTGTGCGTGCTGGTCCTGAGCTTGAACTCAGATCCTGAGCGCTCTATTCCTGAGCTTTTTTGTTCAAGGCTTGAGCCACAGCTCAACTTTTGGAAGTTCATTGGAGGTAAGAAGCTCATGGACTTTCTGCCCCAGCTCCTGTACTCAGGAGGCTGAGATTCAAGGATCTAGGATTACAGGCATAAACCACCAGCACGAGCCCTGAAATAATGTACTTTGAAGCCTTCTTGAGAAAAGAATGGATTTAATGTTCCTAGTGCTTCTTGGTGTGAGCTGCTGGCCTAGGTTGTAGGAGTAGGGTTGTATATGGGCTGGGAGATGAGCTTCTTCCTTTCCATAACCTTGTCTGCTTTATTAGACTGAAAACTTCATCAGGGCAGGGTTCAAACCTAAAGATCTCACTTGATCACTGCTTAATTCCTGGCACTTAGCAGTATCTGGTAAAGAGCCAGTGTTCAGTAAACATCTGGGGAGAGAGAATGAATGCATGCGTAATGAATGCATACATCAACTGCTGTAATACAATTCGATACCTGAAATGGGAGCAGGTGTGTAATATAGAGGGAAGATGAGTGCCGGGTTTGGGTGGGGAGTGATGGCAATCTCAGAGAAACTGGCATCTGATGGGCAGGAAGGGGCTTCCAGACAGATCTGGGGTGGAAATACCCCCACTTTCTCCCATTCTACCGGGCACAGAACTCCTAGCTGCTCATCTTCCTCACAGAACTTCAGACTTGTTGAGGGCAGTATAGAGCTCAGCCTCATGTGGTGGATCCTATTTGATCTAGGCCTTATTACTAGATCATATTGATGTAATATATCTTATTGATCTAGCAATGGCAATGACATTTCCTGATTTTTCAGCCTCCCACAGCTTTTAGTTGATAAGCTATGGATAGAAGAATTTAGAGGGTGGGAAGTTCTAGGAAAAAATTTAATTTTTTTTCTTTTTTTGTGCTGATCCTGGGACTTGAACTCAGGACCTGGGCACTGGCTCTGCCCTTTCTTTTTGCTCAAGGCTAGCACTCTACCACTTGAGCTACAGCTCTACTTCTGGCTTTTTGGTGGTTAATTGAAAATGAGAGTCTTAAACGAACTTTCCTGCCTGGGATGACTTTGAACTAAAATCCTCAGCTTTCAGCTAGGATTTCAAGTGTGAACCACCAGGGCCAGATAAATTTTGAATTATTAAGAAAGAGAATGTATGACAGTTTGCACTTTCTGATGTGGGATGTGATTCCTGGAGCTTAAGACCAGAAGCAGTAAATGTGAGGGTGAATACTAGCTCCTCCTCCTCTTACCTCTGGCCTGATGTCAGCTGAGAATGTATTTAACTGCAAGTAACATGAACCCAGTTTACAATGATATAAGCAAATAGGAGGTTATTTTGTTCACCTGATAGTGTTAAGATGCAGGATTCAGTTTCAGAGATGTGGACAAGTACCCAGAGCAGGCCTTTTCTGTCTTTGCCTTCTGCCAGACTTCACGTGCTCCTCTTGGTGGTAATCCCAGGTGTCATTTCGGCATTTCAGGGCAGGAGATGGAGAAAGAGCCGTATCAGCTGACTGTCCCTTTTCATCATGGAAGAATATTTACTTGGAAGTCCTTCTTACCTACATCCCATGGGCCAAACTACGGTCATGTGGCCCACCCTGGGCACAACAGAGACCCAGACAGGGACAAAAGGAAGAAGGAAGTTCCTGTCCTCCAGGAACTGAAAATTCAGATTCCAGGTCCCTCCTGCCTCATGAACTTCTTCCCTCCCCGCTACGTGCCAGCCGCACTCACTGGTCTTCTGTTCTTCACATATGCCAACGTAGTTCCCATTTCAGAGGTTTTGAGCTCTCTTCCTGTTCTTTCCCCCAGGTTTCCCCAGGGCTAGTGGGTGGTGTGATGAGAGGAAGAGAAAACCCCATCGAGAGGGGCTGCTTTTGTCTCTCAGCAGGTCTGAAGAGGGCAGCTGCTGGCGCTGGTTTGGGGCCTGCATCTCTGATGTTTTCCTCCTTTATCTTAGGGGAGGAGCCGTAGGACCAGGAAGGAACTGTGCCAGCATACTTGTCTTTCTTTTCTAGAAAAAGAACCCAGCACAGCCCTCCACCCCAGTGGCTTTCACAGACATCGTGAACAGAACTGTGCAAGCACCTGTTAAGGAAAGCTGGGAAATTGAGTACTGCAGCTGAAACATGTTCTAGATGGCTGCGTGTCTCAGTCTCAGAGAGTTCTCCCCTAGAGATCCAGCCTCCCCCAGACATTTAAAAAATATTAAAGTATGCTTTTCCCCCCAGCTGTTTTCTATCACATCATCCAGTTCTATTTTCTTCGTAGCATTCCCAGATATTATTTCATTTATTTGGTTGTCTCTGTCTGTGGCCAAATCTTGTGAGCTCCAAGGAGGGCAGGCCTTGTCAGGCATGTTCAGCATCGCGTGGTTGGCACCTACAACAGCATCTGGCATAGCTGTTCAGTACACATTTGCTGGATGACTGGATGGATGGGTAGATGGATGTGAAATTGGGAACTGCAGGATGAAATCTGGATCTATGCAGTGGCACAAAAGTAGGAAATGGAGTCGGGCATCAGTGACTTATGCCTCTAATCTTAGCTACACAGGAGGCTGAAATCTGAGGATCGTGGTTCAAAGCCAGCCTGGGCAGGAAAGTCCCTGAGACTCTTATCTCCAGTAAACAGAAAAAGCCAGGAGTGGCGCTGTGGCTCAAGTGATGAGAGCGCTAACCTTGAGGACAGAGAGGCTCAGGGACAGAGGCTAGGACCTGAGTTCAAGTCCCAGGACTGGCAAAAAATAAAAAATAAATAACAAGGAGATAGAGATTCTAGACATCTTTAGGAGGAGTAATTCACAGGACTTGTGATTTGAAATGTGAAGTAGTTACAAGGGAATCTAGATTCTGTGGGCAAGTAATGATGGGGTTATTTACTAAAACAGAAGTGGGCAGGAGAAATGCAGGAGCGGGTATGACTTTAGACTGGAAGGCTTCCATGGAGTTTGCAGTCGGTCATGGGTGATAGTTACATGAATAGTTTTGGTGAAGAAGGCAGAAGTCAGTGCAGTGGGCTGGGTAGGGATTGTGAAATGCACATGCAGAAATGAATGCACACAGGTTATGGCTCTGGAGACATGGCTGAAAAGGAGGATCAGGAGGGACAACTCTGGAAGGAGAGCAGAGTCAAGGGTCATGGCGGATGGCTGAGCATCCAGTGGTATCTCCTTTTTTTTGGTTACTCAAAGGGCTTGAACTCAGGGCCTGGGCACTGTCCCTGAGCTTTTTGGCTGAAGGCTAGCACTCTACCACTTTGAGCCACAGCGCCACTTCCTGTTTTCTGATGGTTAACTGGCAATCAAAGTCTCACAGACTTTCCTGCCTGGGCTGGTTTTGAACCTCCATCCTCAGATCTCAGTCTCCTGAGTAGCTAGGATTATAGGCCAATAAGAGGGTATTTTGCTCACCTGATAGTGTTATCAGGGTAGGATTCAGTTTTAGAGAAGTAGACAAGTACTCAGAGCAGGACTTTCTGTCTTTCCCTTCTGCCAGACTTCACCTGCTCCTCTTGGAGCAATGCCCAGCAGAGATTTCATATTTTTACCTTTTTTTTTTTTTTTCAAAACTGGAGTTTGAACTCAAGGCCTCACACTTTCTAGGCAAGCACTCTACCACTTATGGCACATCTGCAGCCCCCTATTTTACTTCTAGACTTAAAAGAATTCAGAGCTGCTTTAGAACTATTGCTCATGTTGGAGCTGCTATGCAGGAGCAAAGCCAGAACGAATCAGGTTCCAGCTTTGCCACCAACTAACCTACAGAACCTTCTCT